CTTAGAAAACGGGAAACCAAAAGAAAGACATTGGAAAGCGCGCTGCTTTCCCTTTTGGTCTTAAGCTTTTCATTGTCTAGGGATGTAGCTTTGTGCAATTTTTCTTACATTTGCAAATGAAGTACAAATAAATTAACGGATTTTTCTTTAAATCTAAATTTAAGGCTCCTTTCCCTCAAGAGTTAGGAGGAACTCTTCAGGGCTTTATAGTGAAACACAGGGAACAGAGTTCTGCTAGCAGTGGATTTAGCGAGGCCCGCTTGGACGCCAACATCCGTCAGCATGTTTTAAACAACTTGAAAGTGTTCACCGTCTACGAAGTGAAAGTGGCGGCTGTAAACGACAAAGGGCCTGGGCCCTATACTCCTCTGTACAGGGCCACAACTGGAGAAAAACGTATGCTGAATGTGTGAATAGTTTTATAATTTTCCGGATGGGCGGAATACTTAGGTTCAATAGTAGACTATTGTATAACCGCACTTTTGAATAAGTGTTTTTCGATTAGGTATTAATGTGTACTTCCATATGCAAATTCCAGGCGTTGACTTTTGCCTAGGTAGTGTTTTGTGCAAACCCTCGAGCAAATTTATTGTGCCTTTGCGAGACAAAATGCAGGAAACATTGCTTAGTGAAGCAACACCTGTGCAGTGCATTGAACCGTCAGGGCATTTTCTAGAGGCAATTGCTTTTGCCGATTGTAAAGCAAACAAATAAATTAAAAAAAAGAAAAACATGGTCAGATGAATCGTGTTATCGAAGCGAGGGCGATTTTAACAGCGCGCTGACTGAAGTCTATTTCCTTGCTCTCTTTCACACATCTCAGTAATTTCAGTTTTCTCGCTGTTGTTTTTTTACAGCTCCTTCTGAAGCGCCGAAGGAATTGAAGGGTGGTAGGGTGACAAGAACGTCCATTGCAATAAGCTGGGTGGCTCCTTCTCAAGCGTCTTTTAACGGACATCTTATGGGATACAAGGTCAGTCACCAGGCGTGTTGCGTGACTTTGTCTTTGTCACGAAATCAAGTGACTTGTTATGTGATTTACGATTGTCATTGNTTTAAGTTACCTCAAACGGGCACAACCACAAAATAAAAGTTTACCTATGTGGGAAAACACCAAAGAGCTAATAATAAACCAGAAAGAAATAAGGATGGATAAGGCTGGGGAAGATTGGAAAGGATTATGAAAACGACCTTAAGAAATTCAGGCTGTTTATTTGGAAGATTCGCTATTAACGTAACTGACTGTCAAGTTTACAACGCCTGATCTTGTGACTGGTTTCCTGTTGCAGTGTTACCAGGGAAACCAGGTAAGCCCGAAGTACGCCCGGGATCTATCACAGCGGTCATCATGTGGGAGAATGGAGACAGTGGTAATGTGCCTTTTGAGAAGTTTGAGATCCAGTCCGTCAAGGATGGTAAGCAATTTGTTGTGGTTTTTGTCACAAAACATAGAAGTGCGTCAAAGTGTTTAAAACAGCAAATGCAATTATTTCAGTCACGTCAAGAGATGTTTTCTCTAATCCTTTCAAGTTGCACAATTCGCATGATACTATATTTCTGTTTTCAGACGTCACAGAATTTACGACTCAATGGGAAGCGAATCCCGACGATACTAAAAAGAACCAATCATTCGTTTACTACACGGTCGGAAACCTGAAACCTAACACTGGTTACCGGTTTAGAATCATCGCGTGGAACGAAGTGGGGGCCTCGGAACCATCCGAGCCTTCAAACAAAGTATTTACAGGTCAGTTGCTTGCTTTGTTCAGGACTGTTGTGTCCGGACGCAAATAAACTAACTCCGTGGATAAAACGGCCGACCGATAACAAACTTTAATGTTACTCTAAACTAAACTTGTTCAATTCCCTTTGAAAGCATGCTACATGAATCTTTTGAGAGTTCCGCTCTGGGGACGATTACGTAACCTATTGCATAAGCATCACACCTAATAGTATGGAAACCAAGCTAATTGACACCATAACAAGGACCATCACTTAGAAGAATACCTTTTAATCCCTCCAAAACTAGGAATAATTTCTACATTTGTACATATACATTTTAAATTCTCTCTGGTGTTTCGGAGGATGAGTTCAAGAAATGTATTCCAGTTACTTTGCACACGTACCGAACTCTTTCCCGTAAATTCAGCATAATCTTCTAGAAATTTTTTTTCAATGATTTGACACATCATTGACGAGCACCTTTTGAATTCTCACAATATTTCTTTTATATTTAGGACATTGCCTTAAGATGGTTTTTACATAGATTCTCACGTATGTCTTCTTCATTCTCGTGTTTGGACCAGACTATGTACAACATGAACATACTCAATTTAAAAAATGTATATATGAAGGTACAGTGATTATGGCCAGGAGATTATGGTCATATTGTTTTGCTTTGACTGTCTTACGTTACAGGTAGCGCTGAAGACGACACGGAAGATTTCTACAAAGAGTGGTGGTTTATACTACTCATGGTCCTGTTCTTTGTTATTCTCATTCTTTTGATCATCGGTTTTGCTTTCATTTGTTACCGCCGCAGGAAACGTAAGTAAATTTCCGGCGGGGCGGGGGGCGGGGGAAAACTCCCATATAAAAGAGACGAGAGTGCTGGTCGTACCTTTTAGGAGTTAAAAATGCAGTTTTGGTGTCTCTTAGGGTGCTCAGCGTCAAGAGATCCACAGCGGGAGCTTTTGCGGTATCATTTTGGGTTTTGAGCTGAAAAAAACAAGAAAGGAGATGATGTGTTGTTTCAGAATTGGCGCCTCTTGGGGATGAAAAAGCCACACCCACAAAACAGGATCTTGGTACCTCTAAGGGATTCTTTTCAATATTTCCGACGAGCAACCCAGTCCTTTTTACATGGGAGTCCTCGGCCCGGTAGTAAATCATTACTTTTGTGTTTCTCTGGTTCTTTACTTTCATGCACACTGTGTAGTTTCTTGATCAAGCAAAGGGTTTATCTTTCAATTTAATCTTTTCCAAACACTTAGAAGGGTCTAAAAAGGGTTCAAATTAATGATGAGTATTGGTCAAAATAGTAACTATCAGCCTTGAAATGTCGCCTTTTTTTTACCGATAGTTGAAAAATGAGACCTTAAAAACTTTTTTCTGTTACTGTAGCTGAGAAATGGACGGAAATTTAACTGATAGCTGAGAAATCACTGAAAATGTGACTGATATCTGTCATTTCCAGACCCCGCGTTCAGACCCCGACATAGGTATTGGTTCCCTCGGAAGTGATTCGGTTCTTTTGTGAGATTGCAACCCAAGAGTATTTTCTTGTAACGTAATACTGCTATTTTGATCGTAGGCGTGACGTTTAACTTGTGGTAATTTTTTGTAATTCAACAGAGGCAGATCAAGACTCGTCTGGAGGCATCTCCACCACTCAAAGCACTCTTGAGGTGATGAGAACTTCAAGGAACGGAACGATAAGGAGTGGAACTATTCCCAGCGTTCAAATGTACGTGTTAACTCGATTGTACGCTAACTTGTGTCAGCTGTCGGCAGATATAAATGCAACAAAAATAGTTATATCTTCCTTAACTGGCCTAAGTATTAGGACTGCCGTGGAGTGTGTATCAGTATAGATCCAAGCTGTTGGATTGAACGTTAAGCCTTTCAGTGTACCGCTTTTATGACACCACTCACATATAAAAATAATATTAATTACGAATGGAGAAAACTACTGAGAGTTTTTACAGGCATGAATTCTGAAACCTCAACGAGATTTAGCCAGAGTACTGCTTTTACGATTCTTGATAAACTAATCTCAACAATTTCTGGTAGTAAGATGGTTTTCCAACTAGCATGTAGGCTCCGCCAACAAACCTGACTTGCATCAGCAACAAAATTCTTGCGAGTTATTAAAGAATTTTGAGTCATAATGTGAAGTTTATATGAAATAATTCATATATGAACTGCGGTTGTAGATGAAAGTGAAGAATGATCAGCGCAGTTAATTTTCCAATTTAAGCAATT